CTAACCACTCAGTGACTCCTCCCACTAACCAAACTGTGACTCCTCCCCCTTACCACTTTGACTCCACCCCCTAACTCAGTGACTCCACCCCCTAACCACTCAGTGACTCCACCCCTAACCACTCTTACTCCACCACTAACCACTCAGTGACTCCACCCCCTAACCACTCAGTGACTCCTCCCCCTAACACTCAGTGACTCCACCCCCAAACTACTCAGTGACTCCACCCCCTAACACTCAGTGACTCCACCCCCTAACCTCTCAGTGACTCCTCCCACTAACCAAAGAGTGACTCCACCCCCTAACCAGTGACTCCTCCCCCTAATCACTCAGTGACTCCACCCCCTAACCAGCCAGTGACTCCACCCCTTAACCACTCAGTGACTCCACCCCCTAACCACTCAGTGACTCCACCCCCTAACCACTCAGTGACTCCACCCCCTAACCACTCAGTGACTCCTCCCACTAACCAATCAGTGACTCCACCCCCTAACCTTTCAGTGACTCCACCCCCTAACCACTCAGTGACTCCTCCTCCTAATTACTCAGTGACTCCACCCCCTAACCACTCAGTGACTCCACCCACTAATACTCAGTGACTCCACCCCCTAACCTATCAGTGACTCCTCCTCCTAATCACTCAGTGACTCCACCCCCTAACCACTCAGTGACTCCTCCTCCTAATTACTCAGTGACTCCACCCCCTAACCACTCAGTGACTCCTCCCACTAATACTCAGTGACTCCACCCACTAATACTCAGTGACTCCACCCCCTAACCACTCAGTGACTGACAGTCTTCTGATGTGGTGTATTCAGGTCAGTGTGGTACACTTGGAACCACAGCACAGTAAGTTCTGGAAAACAGGCTGGTTCCATGAATCCTATACCTCCAGAACAGAAGCAGACCTGTTTTTAATGCAGTGCTTCCTGAAGTCCTGAAGAGCCTAAATAGACAAAAGGGACTGTTGTGAAAAGATGTTTGAGTTGATGACCTTTAGTTTTCACTTTGTCATTAGCACTTTGTCTTTTGTGAACACACTGTTTGTTGGTGTTTTGAGACCAAGGAGGTGTCAGTGTATGAGCACTGAAGCACTTTTATCATCAGTTTTAGTTGCTGTCAGTGTTTGGTCGTGGAGCACGACATATAAAGAGACAAAAGTCTTGATCTAGGCTAGGCTAACGTTAGCCAATCAAATGTCAGTTTTCTGTTACTCTTCAGAGTTTTTAAACAACTCCTTTAAAAAAAACCAACATGTGAAAGACAACTACACTAAAGTTAAACCTCTACAGTTTTACATGACACAGTGTGTTGAGTTTATAATCTGCTTGCTTCATTTAGATTTAATGCTTTAAACCAAGATTCATAAAATTTGATCACAGCTCTGTAATCTATTCAGTTTAACCTTCATCTGTAGTTCTCCTGTTGTTTCAGGTTTCTGTCAAGTTCTGGTTTGCCACAGGAGGAGCAGGTTTCTGTATTAGCCGAGGTCTGGCTCTGAAAATGAGTCCTTGGGCCAGGTACGTTGACCTAATCCACACGTTTTTCTTGTTAAGTATAAGTAGTAGCATTCCTTTCTTCTTGCCCTGATAATGCTGTTGGTTTACATTGTGTTTTGTTGTTTCAGTTTGGGTAACTTCATCAGCACGGCAGAAAAGATCCGGCTCCCAGACGACTGCACCATCGGGTACATCATCGAGGCCCTGCTGGAGGTCAGGTTAACTCACTCAGACCTGTTCCACTCTCACCTGGAGAGCCTGCACAAGTTACCTGCTGACTCACTGCTCAATCAGGTTAGGATGTGGCTGCATTCACATTATATTTCTCTGAGGGAATAAACCCTTTACACACAGGTTTTTATATGATTGTGTTTTAAAGGTGACACTCAGTTATGGAGGCTTTGAGAACAGAGGGAACGTGGTCAACATTGTTAGGAGCTTTTCACTGGCTGAAGACCCCACAAGGTAAAAACAAACTCATTTCTGACCATCGTGCTTCTCCACACAGTCACTGAGCTCTGTACAACAATATGTTTTTATTATCCTATGTTGGACACATCTGACAGAAGCTGCTGGTGTGACTGTTAGTGGTGGGCACCAGTCCGCTAAAGTGCAAATCCATGCGGACCTAAATATTTCATTTGCACTTTAGTGGTCTTACTAATTTTTATAATTCATAAGCAGATTTGCACTTTCTAAAATTAAAATGCAGTTCCGCTAATAACTAATTATCTACCAGTC